ATTCTCTCATTCGTGGTTCATCTGATATTGAGGCACTTTCGTATGGTTCGTCACTAGGCAATTCAGCTTCATCAGGTAGATGTACTTCTGTTCTTTCTGAATCATCATCTTCTGAATCTTGGTTAATTTCATGGATAGTTTTCGTACAAGGATATACTAATCGTCCATTACATTCAGAACAATTACATACAACTAACCATCCAATAAGTGATGATGTAGGATAAGATTGATTTGAAGATTCTTCGTCAATTATATTTGACACTGATCTGGTTCTTTGTATACATGATGAAGGTATGGCATGAGGTCTAGAATCTGATTCTTCATTGAGTATACTTGATAATGATCTTTTTCTCGTCATTTTTGTGAACGTTTTTCAAAATAAAGTTAATTGTTAATAATATATCAATAATATCAATATAATTCGTTTAAAATACTTAAATTAGAATAAATTTTATTAAAATCATCAACTGCGTCGATGTAATACTAAATTTATTAAAATCATCGATTTACACTTAAATTATAAATATAAATCATTCGATTAATAATATTGATAATAAAATAGACTATTCGATCGATCAGTATGATGGCGAAAGTTTCTTAAAGTTTAATTTTTTAAATAAAACTTCATTTTTTCTCACCTTTTCTTTTTAGAGTTTTAACGTCTAATACTCTTCGCAACCAAAAAAAAAAATAAAAAAATAAAGAGCCAAAATTCGCAACCAAAAAAAATAATGATCCAAAATAGAAAAAATAAAAATACTGAAAAAGGTTTGGCTAGTGATAATCGAAATAAAACGATTACTAACATCAATAAAAGTTCGTCCAATATCCAACAAGCTGTTGAAGGAACTGCCACACCAATTCATGAGCGAGCTCAAACTACTAACATCAATAAAAGTTCGTCCAATATCCAACAAGCTGTTGAAGGGACTGCCACCCAATTCATGAGCGAGCTCAAACTACTAACATCAATAAAAATTTGTCCAATATCCAACAACCATCTGCTGCGCCAAGTCATGAACGAGCTCAAAGTGTAAAAGAGAGATATAAAAATCTTCGGCTTCCGGATTCGTCCAATACTCAACCACCATCTGCTGC